TATATTGTTAATTCCTCTGCTTTTGCAAATAAATAAAATAAGAAAACTATGTGCTGATACATATAACATATGTATTGTTGAACATGTAACATATGTGTAATAACACAAGTACATGTAGTAAGATCATGTATAGACATGTGTAATAAAGTAATAGATATACTAAGTATCTGGTAAATGTTTAATCACATATGTACATACAGTAAAAACGTATATTGATATGTGTAGTATTTGCTTTTGAAAATAAACAAAATAAGAAAACTATGTACTCATATATGTAACATATGCATTGTTAAACATGTAACATATGTGTAGTAACACAAGTGCACATTATAAGATCATGTATAAATATGTGTAATAAAGTAATATATGTACTGTGTATCTAGTAAATGTTTAATCACATATGTACATACAATGGAAACATATATTGACATGTGTAGTATAATAACACATGTACTATGTGTAACAATACATATATACATTAAAATAAAAATATTTTGTTACAATTTTACGTAAAACGAATGTGAGCAATATTTAACGATAAATACTTGACGAACTGTTAAAACATGTTGTTTAATAATTGCAGGTTGATAAATTCCGGATTCATACTGTTCAACGAAACATATATTTTCGACCACGTTCCTTTCGCGAACTCGCCGGCGTGCTTTCATCGAAAACTTTTCACCCCCTAAATAAATCAATCGGATAATTGTTAATTGGCCTGTGTTTATTCGTCAGCACGCGTCCCGTTCGTAAAACCTTCGACGGGTAAATATTAATGTTCGATAGATGGAAATTTATCGAATTATGAAAACATTCCGCGTTATTAATAATTCATAAACGATTATTGCATTTACAGGGTGCCGCGGACCGGTTATTAAATGCGTTCTTGAGTCTTTGATGCGTTTTCGACTGACAATCATTTCACCGTACGAAAAATTAATACAGTTTTATCCAAAACGATTCGATATACTATGAAATTGAACGAGCTTTCAGGTTATTAGTATGCATAACAAATTTTCTTTTGATCCACGATTAAATATACAACCCCTAACTTGATAGAATTTAAGTGTTTCTAAAACATTTCTGATGGCCCGAAAATCTAGCGTGAATAATCAATTCATACGGAATTAACTTCCAATAAACTGTACGCTCTAGTTTAGCTTTCAAGAATCAATTATAATTCAATGTTTAATGCGCAATTACTTACTCGTTTATTCGGGAAAATCGATGTTGCATTATAAAGGAAGATTTAATATTTTACTTATTATTTTCAGTGTGTAAAATGTGGTTTACGGGTTTGGGAATGTGGGAAATTGGGGACTTGAGAATTTGGGGGTGGAGGGGTTGAGGATTTAGGATTTTGATGATTTCAAAATTTGGGGATTTTTAGGGTTTTGGGATTTGAGGATTGGGGGTTGGAGAATTTGGGAGTTGGAGGGATTTGGGATTTTGAAGATTTTGGGATTTGAGGACTAGGGGTTGGAGGATTTGGGGATTTAGGATTCTGACAATTTTAAAATTTGGGGATTTTGAGAATTTTGGGATTTGAGGATTGGGGGTTGGAGAATCTGGGAGTTGGAGGAATTGGAGATTTTGAAGATTTTGGGATTTGAGGACTAGGGGTTGGAGGATTTGGGGATTTAGGATTCTGACAATTTTAAAATTTGGGGATTTTGAGAATTTTGGGATTTGAGGATTGGGGGTTGGAGAATTTGGGGATTTAGGAATTTGAAAATTCAAAGATTTGGATAGTTAACAATTTTTGAATTTGAGGATTGGGGGTTTGAGGATTTAGGGATTTAAGAATTTGAAAATTCAAAGATTTGGATAGTTGAAAATTTGGGGATTTGAGAATTGGGGGTTTGAGGATTTAGGGGCTTGAGAATTTGGGACCTTAAGGATTTGAGGATGGAAGGTTTGGGGATTTAGAATTTTGGTAATTTACATATTTAGGGATTTGGTGATTAGGGGTTGGTGGATTTGGAGAGTTAGGATTTTGAAAGTTTAAACATTTGGGTACTTGAAAATTTGACAATTTAAGAATTTGAGGATTTAGAGATTTGAAGACTTGAAGATTGGATAGTTTATAAATTTGAGGATATTAAGATTTGACGATTTGACAACTTAGAGATTTGAAGGTTTGCCAATTCTATGATTTAGAGATTTATGAATTGAATAAAATGAACATGATAAATGATATATAAATAAATACTATCTAAACACCTAACTTATCCATTTGCCTAGACAAAGTCTCTCTTCCACCATCCTAAAAACCAGTATAAAATATGAACAACCCTCACAACAGCTAAACACATCAATTGATTATAACCCAATTTATCAAGAACAGTAACCAACATCGAATAAATTTTAATTTGAATTTTAATAAGAAACACAGTAAAATAAAATAAAATACGAAGAGCTGTCAGTCCGGATTGACCCGTATCTGTCACGAATGTCCATTTCTGTCATTCGGACAGCACCGGGTTACGATTCGCATTGAAATTGGATTTGCTTGAGGTTTCATTACGACCACTTGCCTTATCGTCGTTTGAATTATACGCGGCGGTCTCGTGACCGCAATATCGATTCCGCGTTATCGCATTTGCCTTCGATAAACTGTTCGTAACTTTTGCAACGGGTATTCGGTGGAATGGAGGGCAGGATTTTTGATCGGTTATTAATCGAACACGGGATTTCGCGTGTAATCCAGCCGCTTAGCTGGTTTAGTAATTATCGAAGGTGGAGCAGCTAGTCGAGGGTGAAACAGACGTTCCTCATCCCTGTAAAACTATTGTCTCCATAAAATTTCTTTTCTCGAGTAAAAATCTACCCCTCTTATATTTACTTCGTTCTTTAATTATTATGAAGCTCGAAGTTTCGTTATTATTCAGAAGTTTAAACTTTCATTATTATTTTCAAGCTTAAAGTTTCATCATTCTGGAGCTTAATATTCAAATTAAAAATTGACAGAACTTTTGGAAAGGTATTAAGATTTTGTGACTTGAAAATTAGCTCCGCTAAAAAATTAATACTATTCTTATTTCTAGATTCAATGATTACAAGAGTTATTTTTATACAAATCTTTCAAACAAAAATTTTTTATTATTTTTATGTCAGTACTCCTGCTAAGTTCAGCCAATCAAAAATAACAATTTGTAATCAATTTCTTAGACCAAGTAATTTTTTATGAACCACATGTTTACTGTGCACCTATCAGTACTGTTGAATTCGATAAAAAAGGCGGTTTCATTAAAAAAGACTCCTGTTTCATACTAGTTTCATTATTTTGTAAAAACTAACACTATTTAATTTTCACAAAAAGAGTCTTTCTCAATAATAATTATTTTATCTCTTTGTAAACGAGATTGATTTTCAAGACTCGAAGTACAATTTCAAAAAAATGTCTTCTTTCAAAAAAATAAGAATATTTCAAGTTAAAATGGTGATTGTTTATGAAAAAAGTTAGCCAAAGAAATAAGATTAGCAGTAACCAGCAGGGAAACCCTTGAGCAAATATATTCACAAGCCCCGAAGAAAAGACGAAGTGCGTCAAAAATTTTCCGATGGAGGGTCCCGTCATCCCCGAGGCGACGATACCCTAGAAGACATTTCTTTCCCGGTGAAGGAGGCCTCTTATCGTCAGTGATTACGACTTTTTAACGGGGATTTCCTCCCTCCCTTATCTGCTAGCAGTTCTCGTTTCCTTTGCCCTTCTTGCCGCCATTGAAGCCCGCTTTTCGAACGTTTCCGCGGTTGTAACTAGATTCCCTTCCGTCCCCGAAACCATCGTCTTCCCTAACCCCTTTGGAGGCTCGTCGAACTACTTCGTCATTCACCTTTTTCTTTTAACTTTCAATTCGATTTGCATGTGAAAGAATACCGTTCTTGGCCCGCCCTTTGGGCAGTTCCGCTCGCGGGAAACGTACTCGACCGAGGTCCACTCGAGGCCCATGGCCCCTCTGTCATGCAAATTTTATTATTCTGACCGCTACCGGGTCCATCTGACACGTTCCTTCTTTCATCCTTTTGCACGATCTGAAGGACTCGCGAACGATTCGACTGACGTTGCTCGGATGAATTGGCCTCTTTTCGATGAGAGAGCCGCGCCATTTTGTCCAACGCCGATCGCTCAGCGCTGCTTTTCATTTGCATCGGTAATTTTGAACTATGAAAAATTCTACTTTCTTTTAGGGGTTTTAGTGGACATGTAAATGTGATTAATATGGTGATATGTGTAACTGCAGTTCATTATGTATAATTATAAAGTTTGACGGTTTACATGTAATGATAGTTTGAATTATAGTCACTGCTATAATCACCACTAAGATTATCACTGAGTTACTATATATGTATAATAACCGGTAATTATAATCACATTTATTAACACTAGCTTTTGAGAATTTTTGAACCTATACTTTGCAAGATTTTCAAACTTATGATTACTCTATAAGGTACAATTTACAATCTAACAATTTAGGAAATTTATACTGTAATTAAAAAAAGTTTATTCGAATTAAAATTAACGTAGATATAGTACCATCAAAGTACATATACTTCAAAAAAATAAAGAAGTCTGCTTCATTCAACTTTTATAAAATTACATATACAGGGTGAGGCACTTAAAAATAGCTACCTGAATAACTTGATTATTATTACTGATAGCAAAAAATGCATCAAGGCAACATTATTAAGTATCAAGGGTTTGATCATCAGATGTTAACATTTTTTTAATAGGTTAAAATGTAAAAGTCATCTCTGCTAGTCAAGATAAGTGTCTCATCCTAGTAACTAATTTTATAAAATCTAATTCCGCCACATTTAAACGTCTCCAGAATTATCAAACGAAGTACCTCGTATAATTCTGCAGAACAAACGAGAAGCTCGATAATTCCGCAATGGAATTAGCAAACGAATATACTAGTGCAATTACACTTGTTAGAACAAGTTTCATAATTAGCTGTCATGAAACAGATATTAAAGACACGCGATTTTGTTCACAGTTCCTCCAAACATTGAGGACTATCAGACATCGTCGGATGCCATTGTGAGAGAAGGATCCAACGTGACTCTAACGTGTAAAGCGACCGGAAGTCCCACACCAACCATAAGCTGGAAAAGAGATGACAATCAGAAGATTTCAATTAACAAGACGTACTCTGGTGGGTATACTTCATATTATTAAGCAAATACGAGCTTTTTTAGATAATTCCATGGTTAATTAATGAAGGTTATTTTGTATATTTTTACTCGTTTATCGGAATATTATAATACTTTTATATTTTATTCGTTCTTTGCTTCGTTACTTCATTTTTATATTTCGTGCCTTTTTTCAAATATTATAGAATTAAGTCACGATATGCGGTTATACTTATTAGAGAATATGAAATGATCAGAAATGTAAAATACATAAATGTATAAATGTGTAGTATGTGCAATGGAGTAAAAACTAGAGCAACATTTTTAGAATTAGGAAATCAATTCATCAAGCATTCAGTGAATTTTAAAAAAGTTTTATCCTCCAAAATATTGAATATTATCAAAGAGCTTTTAAACAGAACAAGAATTGGTAATTGATTTGAAGGAATTAGATGAAAATCAGTGACCGAACGATGTCTCTTTGTCAGTCGATTCGAATAAATCTTTGAGAGATTCTCAGATCGATCCGTGACCGCGTTTCGATAGATTCGTGGAGGTCGAGTCTCCCGGCAATTAAAAATAATGACATTCGCCCGTTTCTGTCCAAAGATCAAGCGTGCAAGCTCTAAAACTGTGTTACCGCTGTCACAGGCGAAGAAGCCGCGTTCGGGAAAGAAAAAGGACGCGAAAAGAAGAAAAACAAAGGGAAGGATCCTCGTTAACGTGTCACGCAATCCCGAGAATTCAGGAAACGCATGGATGCGACGTATAAAAATTTCACGACGCGTAATTATCTCGGCTGTGAATTTGTAAAAAACACGGCTCGTTGAATTTTTTACGACGTGTACACGGATCACGGCACGCATTAATTTATGGGGATAAATAAGGGATGATTACGGCGATGACAAACCGCGAGGAAACTGGGATTTCAGGGTGTGACGAGTTAAAAATTCAATCTGTTACTCTCTTGGCGAATATCATTAAACGTGTTTGTGTGACAAATTGGAAGTCCGTAAAGGAAACGTGTAATTAACGTAGATTTCTTATTACGCGAGATTTTTATAACGAACGCGGCAAATTGAAGAACGAGGAAGGCGCGGAACGGTTGAAATACTCGGACGGTTTTAGCGCTGGGAAATGTTTAAAGTTATATCTTTGAAATTCTGAAAGATAGAGCAAGGTAAAACCGAGGGGTGTGAGCTACTTTCTTGAATTTCACTTTTGAAATTTAATGTTTTCGTTATTCAGTCATTTATTTTTACAACTTGATAATTTAATAAATTAAAAATTTAGAAACTCGGCAACTTAATATTTTAGCAATCTACTAGCTCAATAATTTAAAATCTTTTTAATTCTAAAACTTGAGAACAATTTTTTAAATTGAAGAACTCAACACTATATCTCTGAAAATATTTTCAAACGTCAAAAAATGTAGAAACTCAGTAACTTAATATTTTAGCAACCTACTAATTCAATAATTAAAAATTTTCTTAATTTTAAAATTTGAGAAAAATTTTTTAAATTGAAAAACTATCAATACGAAATCTCCAAAAATATTTTTAAACGCCAAAAAATTTAGAAACTCAGTAACTTAATATTTTAGCAACCTACTAATTCAATAATTTAAAAACGTAAAAACTTGAGAAGTGAAAAATTTAAAAAATGAAAAATCAACTATTATCAACTCCTTAACAATTTTTCAAACGTCATAAAATCATATGTCGTCGAGTTGTCAAGCATAATCCACCGAAACAGGGATGTCTCCTTTTCCCGCCATCGTCTGTCAATTAACGCACGGTAAATGCTTTTAGACTTTGTCGCGTTCCTTGACAATTCGGCGCTGTCTGGCGTGGAAATCAATTAATAAAGAAACGAGACAGAATGTCACGATAAAAGGACCATTATAATTTTCAGTTTCCGAGTGGCAAGGTGAGACATTGGAAATCACTCGGATCTCGAGGCTGGACATGGGTGTCTATTTATGCATCGCGAAGAATGGTGTGCCTCCGACCGTCAGCAAACAAATTAAAGTCTCCGTCGACTGTGAGTACATTTTATTTTCATCGAAACCCGATATAGTTATTATTGACATCCTCTATTAAACGTGTTTTGGTAATAAGCGATTTTGGAAATTCGATTTAGACATTCAGGTTAGGTCTTCATATGTTGTCTGTCATATTTAATCTAACAATACAAGATATTTTTATATGAAATTTGAACGAATCTTATATTCAGCGTACGGTGATTTGAAATAGTTGAAATGCCAATTTTGATCAAAATGAATGTATCAGTACAGCAACCCCTATATTCAGTCAGCATTAAGCTTCACTAATATTTGTTATATTACCTTGTTTCGTTTTATTTTACTTTCGCAAAATTTATCTATAATCTACACATTTTTGTATAATTCGAAATATTTTCTATAAAAGAGGTTATGCTCCGTATTAATAAAAATCCGCAAGTTCTAAAATCAGGGCCACAAAGTTAATCTACAAAAGAAAGTCAGCCATCATGGAAAGATACTTACGGAAAATGAAATTTATAAATACACTCGCTAAACCGAACACTAAGGCGAACATTTCTTTCTGAAACAAGAAACACAATATGGTAGGGTGTACATCTGGCCAACGGGGGTTGAAGAGCGTACAATTTAATAATACAGAAAGGTGTCCGGCAACAAAGAGTGTCTTTGTTGCTTACACGCTCTCCTGTCCCGATGTACAGAAAGCAGCGGGCGAGCAGATAAACGTGGGGGCGAAAAAAGAAAAAGGGAAAAGAAGAGAGAAACGGAGGTATATTCGTGCGAAAGAGTGAAAGCGAATTGGTATAGGGGGATGAAGAGCAACGGTGTCGGGACATAAAAGTAAGCTCAGGCGAACCATGACACACCATTACCGTTTCCATCCCGAGTATTTGCCAATTGTTACGTTACTGCTTCTCCTAAATACTGGAGCGTGCCTTTTCCGCAGCTTTTCTGCGACTTGCCAACCCTTACCACTCCCTCCTACCCTTTTATCGAATCTTCTCTTATTTGATTTTTTACATTTTTTTTTGGAAATATAAGTTCACTGTTTCTCGTCATTTTTACTCAAGATTTTGTGTGTTTGAAATTATATTTTTGCATTTGGTGAATTTTGAAGAGGTAGAGTTTTTGAAGATACAGAATGTGGATTTGTGAAGTTGTCAAGTTTGTATTTTTGTGAACTGTTTCTCAAATTTCTAAAAATTTCAGTTTCTAAATATCTAAATTTTTAAACCTCAGAATTTTTAAATATTTGAAGACCTAAATTTTCAAATGACCAAATCCCTCAATTCCTAAATTTGCAAATGTCTAAACTTCCATGTAGCAAACTTCTAACCTCCTAAATTTCTAAACTTCTAAACTTGCAACCCTCTACGCTAACTTGTCAAGCAACTGCATTCGTAAATTTGCTTTGAAACAAAGCTACAATAACTGGCCCACAAAGTAAACCTAGAAATAAACCTTCTAAATTTCAGAACCCCCTGTATTCAATTTTTCTGGTTTGCAATAAAACAAATTGCACGATAATGCCCCGGTAATTAAATTTCCCCATCATCACGTCATCCTAAATTTAAAACCCCAAAGAGGGCAATAAAAAGAAGGCGGTCGAAAGATCGCGTCGAAGATGGCTGCACGTGTTCCGTCACATAAAAACGAAGCACGCGTAAAAGATACGACAACGAAAGAGTTATCCGTTTAGTTAAAGCGAGACTAATTAATTTAGCGGCGTCGTAAAGAAGCGTCGAATTGCGATTCACGGCCAGACAGGGTTGTACGGGGGTTAGGTAGGAGGGTTTGAAAAGAGGGGATGTTTTTGCCGCTGGTCTGTCCGCGGATGCGCCGAGGATTATCCTTTTAGGCGTCCTTTAATTCTATTTGTAGCCGGCTGCTCCGGGCAAAGGCTTTTGTCAACGAGTATTACCCTCGGGCCCTTTGAAGTCAAATTGCGATCGAGTAATGTAATAGTTCTGTCCACCATGTGCATTACGCAGCGTTGAACTTGAGACTTCAGAAATTTCACGTTTTTCATGCAACTTTCAATTTTACTGCAGATCAATTCTTCTTTTGTCACATTTTTTTTTAGAGAAAAAACTGTTTTTTATACCTTTTTTTTATTTTTCTGATGTTTCGAGGAAGGTACTGTTCTTAATTTTATTTTTGTTTTGTGATTCTTTTAAATAGTTGCCAACATCAAGTACTGTGTTAAATGTACTGACTGCTTGTGTTTCCTAGTAATTGTGTTTACTACTAATTTATGTTTGATAAATGAAAAATATGTTTGACATACTACTCATAATAAATGAAGAATACGTATATTTTACATAGTACCTATAATAAATGAAGAGTATATTTAAAAAGAAAATATTTTCATATATTCCACAATGTTGCAATTTTATCGAGAGCCACATATGAAGCCACCTCTTCATAAATTAAGAAGGTAAAAGGAATGAAGTTGTACAAAGAAATTGTTCTAACTTCCTTCGTAATAAAAGAAGAATATACTGTTGTAAATTAAGAACTTAAGAAAGAATGCAAAGAATTGTAATTGTAACATTGTCTTTCGTAAAGTGAGTTCAAGAAGTATCGCTGGAAATAATTCGAACGCATCGTCAGTGATTAAAACGCGAGTCGTTAGCGATAAAATACGCGAGCAAAGGACAATCGAGGCGTTATGAAAGCGGAAGCGCCCTACCTAGAAGTCATCAAATTAGAGGTGATGATACGAGCACGTTCCGCGCGTTTTTATACGCTCGGGCGGAAGATTAATTACAGAGCAGGACAGATTATACCCACCCGCCCATCGTCCCGATGACATTACAACTTTACGAGCTGAAAAACTTACCCCTCCACGTATCCGATGGTCCATCATTTCTTCGCCTCGGTATTATTCTACCCCTTCACGAACCCCGGCGTTTCTTTAACACTTACGTCTTATTTTCCTCTTTCTTCTCGCAATATTTCAGAAAATTAAACATGTATGCTTGCTGTATGTACGTATGTTTGCTGTTTGCTGTATGTTTTAATTGGTTGAAATTTTAGTACAGCAGTTTTATTAAATCTTTGATAAAATTTCACAAAATTACTTATGTGTTGGATTTGATAATTCAAAAACAAAGCAAACCGTATTTTTGCAAAAGAAAAATGAGATTTATCTTTCGTGGAACACTAGTTATGAGACACCCTGTACCTTGTAAACTCGTGCAGGCCATTATCGCGGTTACGAATTTAAAAAATACTAAAGAGCAGAACAACTAATGGTAACAAAAAACAGTCCGTGAAAATGAACTTAAAATAAAATTAGGTTACGAAGTTCAGAAACGTGAACCCTTCCATGAAAGTCAAAATTGAGAACGTAACGTCCGTTTCCCAACGAGATAACCCGAAAATAGGAAAGTGAATTATAGATAGAAGTTGGCAAATGACTAGGAACCTTTTAATATTATTCCCGTACGTTCGAGTTAGAATTACGTAGTTTCCGTTGTTTATGAATAATTAAATCGGAAGTTTAGCTAACTTGGAGAATTTAAATTCAGAACGATCGACACTCGAAACGTTTACGTTCACGGATGCACCTGGTTGCGCTGTTTGAAATCGTATACAGACACACTAGAGAGAGTTGTGTCGTCTCTGCCGCCCAAAGGAACGCGTTGTTCCGTTGTTTAAGTTGACTGAGGGCTTAGGAATGGTTGATTCGCCGCAGAGTTTGCGTACGTTGCACTCGTACCTTTGCTTTCGTGGTTGCACGGTTACTCGAACCTGTTTCTCGGAACTGAGTGTTTAGGATGTCGCACGCTTGCCTTAATCGTGACAGCTTAGTTTCATCTGCCAGGAATTTCTCTAAATGTTTGCTTCCAATTTCTTACGTTAGAATTGCGACTTTGGTACAATTATGCTTGGACTGATTCATGTGACCATCCTTTTGATGACTATAATAATTCAACCCATAATTCGATTGCTAATCTCTGGCTTGTCATGTATGAACTATAGTGTGCTTCATGTGTGTGACAAAATAGGACAATTAAGCAATGAATTATTTTTTTCATTTTAATAAATGAACTTTTTTAATGAATGAATGAATGAATGAATTAACATTGACATTGATAACTAATGTTGATAAAAAAATTTCAGTAGAAAAGGAAGTATTGTCAACAACAATTCAACAAGTGCCATATTGTCAAACTTCCTTTCAAAATATCTTCAATAATTTCTTAAAAGGTCATTTCCAAATAATTTCATCTTTTGCCTCCAGCTCTCAGCAACTGAAAACTAACGCCATAAATTTTACTTAAAATCACTAAGCTACCATAACCCAGCTTTGTTCCTCCAGCGATACAATATCCATGCATCCGAAACAGTGTTTTTGCCTAACCGATCGCATCGCATGATCCTGTCAGAGGTATCAAAAGCAGGTGATAACGAGATACGTGGCGTTTCACATCTAACACGAGCCTCATATTCCATCGTTGAACTTCACTTTAATCAATCCTTTATAACCGAGCACTGTGGCCCATTTATTCTTTGCTGGTGTCCATTCATTTTTCAAAAAAAAAAAAAAAAAACAGGAACCTAAAGCAGCGTGTGCATAACGCATCAAAGCAGCAGCAGCGGCAGTGGCAGTAACATTCTACGAAGGTAGTCGTTATCGATCGCACGGTAATCTACGGAGTGCAGAGATAGAAGAAGAGAGAAAGAGGCAAACGAGTAGAACCGGGGGCCCTTGGTAAGTCGCCGTTTTTTAATTTGGACACGGCCACCACGGTTAATGGCCGTTGAGCTCGGATTCGTGCAGCCAGATCTGCCGGCGGGACGGTAATTTTCTGCGGGGCAGAGCTCGGATACGAAGCGGGAAATCTGTTGGGAAAATGAGCCGAGGCCGAATACCGACTCTGTTTTCCCGTGGCCGGTTCCTTGGCCAAACACCGTTTACTGATTTATGGCCGAAGACAAATTGTCCGTGCTCTATCGTCGCTGCATTTTAACCTCTTACCATTCTCTATTTAACGATAATTATGCTTACGGG